TGGGTCATAAATTTTTGCCACAATCTGTAATACCTTTCGCTTCGTAACGTGTTTCCAGTCAACTGGTTGTAAAAGTTCTTGTACATCTAATTTCAATGTGTCCTCATCCAAATCCCAAATTATTCCCAGCACCTTTAACGTTTTCTTATCCAAATTATCTTCCTTATTAATTAAACCAATATCTTGCCAATGATTTTTTAAAGATACGGAATTTGATTCAAATTTTCTTAAGTTCATACCAGCGTCTTGAAGAATTTTAACTGCATCAGTTGATAATGAGAAAACTTCTTCAACGGAGTCTGCTCCATGGATAAGGTCATCAACATATAAGGACTTATTTAACATGTCAACAGCTTTGCTATATTTCTTTTCATAACCCTTAATATGATGTTTGATAGTGGCGGACAAAATAAACGGACTTGTTGTCATTCCAAACGGCACTCGGCACATTCGGAAAACCTTAAAGCCTAAACTATTGTCACTATTGTCGTAAGAATGATCAAACCACAAGAACCTTAAAAAATTTCTATCTTCACTATCAATTTGAATTTGGTGAAAAGCCTTCTCTATGTCTGCACAAAATGCAACTTTATGTACGCGAAATTTTAAAATTATATCCAACAAGTTAGGATTTAAATTAGGGCCTGATATCAAACATTCATTTAACGATTTAGCTCCTTCAGACTTAGAAGAGGCATCATAAACTATTCTTATTCTTGTTGTTACTTTTTCCTTCACGTATAACGGGCCTATGAGGCATATAATAACAGTTAGGTTCATTTTCAACAAACTTACATTGTTCAACAATCCCCCTTTCAACTTGTTCTCTAATTATATTATCATATTCATTATATAGGAAATCATTTCCCTTTAATTTATGCTTTAGTCCTAGAAATCGTTGTTTAGCAACGAAAAAATTATCAGCGAGTTGTGATTTATTGTCCTTCCAAAAGAGTTTTGTTTCGTACCTGCCGTTATTAAATTTTAAACTGTCGTTAAAATGCTTAATAGTATCCAAATCAGTTTCCGAAAATGTTTTGTTTTCATTTTCAATTCCTATCGAATCCAATTTCCAAAATGACTGCAAATCAAATGTGTTTCCTTCAACGGCAGATAAAAACAACGCATTAATTCGAGTATTATTATTTTTTACTTTACCCATCACTGTGTATCCAAATATGGTCGGTACTATAAACAAACCATCATTTATCATTGAATTACTTCCTGTTTGTATATACCAGAAATGCTCCGCGCCAAGCAGAATATTTATGTTCTCATTAACGGGACTTGTATCCGAAAGTTCCAAGCCCTTTTTAGTCATAAATTCTTTAATGTTTTGACATGTTGATGGCGCCTGGAATTCTATTGATGATATTAATTCTATCCCTATAGCTTCTACAACAAGGCAGCGATCATCGTTTTTATTTTTTATTTTTAGACTATATACATCAAATTCTTGCGAGTTACCGCGCTGATTTCCAAACGAATAAATTGTTAGAAATTCTTTTCTAATGACTTGCAATTCTAAATCGCGCGCTAACTTGTGGGTGATGAAGTTTCGTTCACTACCTGAATCAATTAATAATCTTACGATTCTCGATTTATTTTTGCTTTGAGCAATAACAGAACATGTCTGTAAAAGCACACTATTTTCAGGTTTTAGAGTGTTACAGTGGGAAGTAGATACTAAAGTTTTATTTTGCGTATCTGCGGAGTTAACATCTTCCATTTCTTTCGATTTCAAACGGCAGAAAAGTTTATTATGATTTTTCTCGTTACAATTTTCGCATGGTTGTATTTTTGAATGACAAAACGACCGACAAATGTGATTTCAGAAAGCATCTGTAACAGCGACCTTCATGTTTCAATTTCTTTCGTTTTTGTTCGTCGGAAAATTTCAAACATCCGGCAGATGTATGTTCGTTTGATTTGCAGAATATGCAAAACATTTTTACCGATGTGTTAAAAGCAGAAGCTTGTGATTTGACTTTATAATTTTTTAACCCTTGTTTAGGATTAACCCCTGTGTATTTATTACCTTTTGAGCTATTAATCAAAATACTTGCTTCTCGGCATTCAGTTTCGATTTTAATGAACTCTATTAATTCACTTACTTCTATATTTTGGTTAGATGTTCTTTTTCTATGGAATTCAAGAGCTAAATCTTCAGGTAACAATTTAAGAATTATTGGGTTCAATAACTGTCCGTATGAACCGCTAGTAACATCTAAACTACTTAAATTTCTAACGCAGATTTGTAACTGATCATAGAGCTTTCTTAACTCAAAAACATTTGAAGAACTTTTAACTGGTTCTAACTGTAACAACATCTGCATGAATTTTGATATAATAACATCTTTACGACCAAACCTCTCTTCTAAACTTTTAATACATAGATCATAATTTTCTTCAGATAAAGCATAACCAGAAACACAATTATATGCTGAACCAGATAATAAACTTTTCAAATATGTAAACTTATCTATTTTAGATAAACTTGGATTAGAATGAATAGCATTATCATACGAATTAAAGAATTCGAGCCATTTACTGGGATCACCAGCAAATTTTTCAATATTTAATTTAGGTAACTTTACTGAAGCACTACTTGTAACAACATTATTACCATTCAGAGTACTACTAATACCATTACTAGTTGCAATTATATACTTCTTTCAACAACTTCATTACTGTTAATTTTCTTTACTTTACTAACAATCTTAGCTTTAAACGTTATAATTTTTTCATCATACTCTTCACATACAAGTAGTTCGTTATCATATTCTTTTTCATCAATTATGAGAGCATCGATCTTTGAGTCAAGAGTTTTAAGTTTCTCATGGTATTCAATTAACAATTCATATGATGAATTTAAATCTTCTAGATGTTCTTTACTTAATTCTTCCGATAATAATTTCTCAAGTTTATTTAGAAGTGTAGTAACTTTACTACGTACAATAGCACGTTTCTTTTTCTCTTTTGCTAAATCATCCATTATGTTTCGTTTTCAAAGATCGATACCAAGAACAAATAAATCAAATTTCTTACCTTTCAAAAGGTAATTCCCCTTGTCGCGGGTTTCAGACACCAGAAAAATGTATGGTGTCTCTCTTCATGAGTCATAAATTCAAAGATCGTTTCGTTTCAGGAGTCAAGGTTGGGAGAGCATTAGAATTTCAAATCAAAACTTCAAGATTTCTTAGAACATAGAAATAACATTTATTAACGATAAACTTATATTACTTCCGCCTATAGCGGCCATGAAACATAATCAAGCATCAAATAAATATGACATGCGTCATTCTTCATGTTCAAGCGTCAAGTGATATATTTTTCATCGGCGCGCATCAAGAGCGCCACCTATCTACCAAAAAGCGGAAATAATGTATTAGTTTTAGGAATTCATAGAAAATATTTTTAATATGTATAGGGATATTAAAAACAATTAATTACATTTAATTACTTTTTGAATTTATTTTTTATACTTGTATATTCCTTTTTTAATTCTATTGATTTTTCTTTTATGGTCTTAAGTTCTTGAACAATCCACATAATTTCAGATCCTAAGCTGAATGGACTTTTGATCTGCTGTATTTACTCCATTATAGGCAAATCATAGTGGTGAACAGTCTGTGAAAGAATGGCAAACTGTTAGTTCTTCAGGTTACTTTTCTATCTTGTGTTACACGATTTCGCTGGGAATTTTAAATAGGAATAAAAAAAGTTACTTTCTTAATGGTAATAAATCTTTCATGCCAACAACAATCTTTGTAAACACAAAAGAACATAATCAAAAGCAAGAGAAACATGCCAGTGTAAAGCATAAAATTACACAAAAAAGGAACCTTATTTGGTATAGGGATTGTATAAAACTATAAGGGTATTTTGAGGGACTGGAGATTATTCTGTGAAAGTCTGGTAAACTGCCAGTTTTGCGAGTTGCTTTTCTGCACTGTTTTTTGTGATTTCACTAGAAATTTTAATTAGTAAAGGTAAACAGTACTTTCTTAAAGCTAATAAATATGTTAGACCAACAATTAGCTCCGTAAGTTTAAAAGATAATCAAAGGGAAGAGAAACAAAAAAGTAACATCTTTTTTGGGCATAGGGTTTGAATAAAACTTTTTATGCAAAACTGGAAGAGGGGCAGCTGCTTTTGTGCTGAAAGCAATGGGTAGAGAAAAGCAATAACAAATATAGCACTATTTGTCAAGAAAAATGATTAAGAAATGTGAAAACTAAGATTTTGAGAGCATTAGAAAATTATAGGTTACAGTTAATGTCATTCACTAAAGTAGGTAAATTTTTGTGAATGCGAAAATCTCCAAGGAAATCCAGCTCAATTGGTGGATAATTTTTGCAAACTTAAGTCAAAACTGTGATCAAGCGTCCAGTTATGATTTGCTATGAAAGACTGGTTTATTTTTCCATTTGAAACGTAAGATTCATGTTAAATGGGGTGATAAGATATTTTGTAAAAGAAGGCCAAAGAAGCAAATCATATAGGCATCAGTATTGCAGTTGTTAGAAAATAAAAAATGAATTGTGGAATACATGTATATTTGAAATTTATTTCCATTAAAACACTTATAAATTAATCATATAGTATTTACTAGAAATTATAAATTTTTTTTAGAATTGTTTACGATTTTTTTATACATGTTTAGTTCTTCAATTAATCAGATTCAAATGCTCAGGGATATTGGCAGAACCGATCACCTTCAAAGTATTATATTTAAAATTGAGCATGATAAAAAATGTGATACACCTTACTGTAAAATTTTCTTTTGAATTGAAATACTGTAAAATTTTCTTTTGAATGTTTATATTTCAAGAAGATAGGGTAAATTTATTTAGTTGATGTTGTGGTAATACACATCACAAATTATTCTTTTTTTCCCCCAGCTTATTTTTTTTAAGTAACAAAAATGTGAATATAATCATATTAATAAATAACTAGTATGAAATTATTTGAATTATATTTAATACATTTTTATTTAGGCTGTAAATGATGCTAAACAAGATTTGAAATTTTTGTTGGTATATCTTCATGGAGATGATCATCAAGATACTGATGAATTTTGTAGGTAAGCTTTAACTTTAACAACTTCTATAGTTCTTTATTGTAATAGTACTATGTAATATTACTGCAATAAAATTTACTTACTGTAATATTACTTCTATAGTTTTTTACTTTATGAGTTTGCTGCACATATTGACTTTTAAAGTTTGAATTTAAATGTCAAACATTTATAAGCAATTTTAGAAAAAATATCTTATTGATTTTATTTGCAAAGTATATTAAAGATATGAAATGGGAAGGTTTAGTAATGAAGGATTTAAAATATTTAGTTAGGTATGGGTAGTACATTTTTGTGCAGCTAAAAGTTGATCTACCTGAACCTTGACATTTCATCAGTAAATATTTAAATTCCATAATACTTTTCCCTCTTCTAAAGTTATAAAATAAGGCATTTGCTAAATATTTATTAAATGTTAATATCATAAAACTAATTTTCATCTTAATTGGTTTTATTTCCCTTTAAATCATTTCCATTTTCTGTATTTTTTATGTAGGTGCTTTCTTTAAAGAAGTAATAGAAACTTTTTTTTTTTTTTTTTTCTTTTTACAGAACTGTGTTGTGCAATCCTGAAGTAGTGAATTTTGTAAATTCATCTTTTTTATTTTGGGCATGCTCAGTAAACACATCAGAAGGTTATCGAGGTAATAATAGTTCTTAGATTTCTGAAAATGTGTGTAATATTAATCTGCTACAAATGTTGATTTTAAAGCCATTATGCATTATCTTCCAACAAAGTAAGATCCGTTTAAATTACTGTCGACCGTTAAAGTATGTGAGTTTAAAGAGATTTTGCTTATACCTTTCTTTTTTGGATGGGGGCTAAGTGTATGTTTTTTTTTTTTTTTTTTTTTTTTTTTTTTTAAGATTTACAATAGTTTGTGGGGAGGTCTAACTGAAAAATCATTATCTTAATCAAAAAATTATATGTGCCATAAATGTATTAACTGTAAGTAGATATTAGTTTTTTTTCATTTATTGCCTTAAATAATGTGTTAAAATTTTATTGCCTTAAATAATGTGTTAAAATATACCGTGATGTTAGGCTTAGTGACAAACTGAAGGGAACAAAACAATTCGGTACTAGATACTTAATGTAAGGCATCATAAACACCTTTTATTAAATATAATGTCACTCCACCTATTATTGAAATTATTTGTTAATGGATTTATTAAAAATTAAATGTACCTTAATTTATATCAATTTGGTATGTTATGTCAGTTAGTTATTTATAAATTAGGTAAAATTAAAATAAAAATTTAAATTATTAAGAAATATATTTAAATCATTCCTGTACAGAGTTGCTATGCTACTGGGAAAAGTCAGGGAATTGGAAAATTGTCCAAAAAGTCAAGGAATTTAAATATTTTAGCAAAACCTGGAAAAGTTGGGGAATTTCATACAGTGATCCCCCCAAAAAGAGATTTTTGCCCCAACATTGAATGCGGATCATTTTCTTGGTGAATGTATCACTGAACATCATTCCAGCAGCTTCCATTAAAGCCAATTTTTTCAGAGGCTATCAGATTTTCTTTCAGAAACACAAAGCAAGTTTATCCAGAATGCAGAGAGCATGACTCGCATGTTCTTGCGAAGAATAAGAAATCTGTGAATGTTAAATGACAGCTGTCATTCATGACATGATTTTATCACCATCAATGGTGGGAAAAGTCCAGTGTTTAAAATGTTTTATACAAAGTAACGAAAAATCGACGAATTTCATTTCTGATTTTGTTTATTGCTTAGATGGAATGATTTGTAAGTGTTTAATATCTTTGTAAATGTATGTTTTTATGCCTGTAAAATTAATTTTTAAAGTATACTTTTAACTAATATTTGTGCTCAGACAAATGTATTTCAGTGTCACTGACTGCAAATATTTCAGGTGCAATCACTTCTAGAATTATAAGCTCTTTTGCATGTAAATAAAAAGGGAATTTATTTGGACTTAACTAATTTTGTGATGCAATGCATTGTTGAAGAGAAGTTTCGTTTAGTATGTAAATATTGTATAGCAAGTTTTCTTAGTTTGGCAAAAACTTTATTTGTAAGTTACCAAGAACAACTCCTATTATAGTTATACTAGTAATACTTTGGGGATACAAAAGTAAGTTTTTTTTTAATATCAAAGTTGTATATAATTAGCAAATTTTTGAGTTCTCATGTGGTACTGAATTAATTTACTCTTGGCATAGTTAATGTACACTATATGGCTGGACTGGAATTTTCTGGTAAACCTGGAAAAGTAAGGGAATTTCATTCTCCTATTTGAGTGGTAATCCTGCGTATAGCTTTTATATAAATATTAATGTATTTAAATTGATATATAGGTTTTTAATTACTCGGTTTAGTAATAACAGTATGATTAATTGAGATTTTATTTTATGCCCAATGGCAACACTTTTAGAACTTGATATGCATGAGGCTACATGAAGTATAAATTGAAAAGCTGTTTTTCTGCACAGTGTTAATGGTTGCTAAGATGAATTGTTAATGTATGTAGGATAACATAATGCAGTAATAAAAAAAAAAAAAATAAAAAAATAAAAAAAAAAAAAAAAGGAAAGGTCTATTTAGAAGTTTTAATACACATGCATGTGCACAAAATGATAAAAAGATATCTCGTAACTCAATAAAATTAGTTTTCAGTACTATGTTATTGTAAGTACTTTGCTGCTACCTCCTTATCTCAGATGATCTTGTGATAATGTCAGATATTTATCTGTAGGAAATGACATATAGTTTTGGTCATATCAGCATATCAGCCTTTTTTAGTTTATTTTATTATAAGAATGTACACCACCTTCCAAAAGTTAAGCAACAAATTGAAAAATCATCATAAACTGGCTGAAAGTAGTTTGAAATACTTGAAATTCAGATATGTTACAAATAAAACCAAGTTGCATCAAGAAACATTATGCAGAAGTGTGGCACTGCCATCTCTTTACATAAATATGATTAAAATCCAGATTAAAAACCAGCTGTTTAGGAGGGAAGCACTGTTCAATGAATGGTGGTGTATTAAGCAGTTATGTGATAGCCAAGGTGTAAAAATGATTTCGATGCAACATATGCCATTATAGAGTCGAAGACCAATTAGAAGCAGGTCAGTGACAGTCTCTACCAGTTCAACTTCTTAAAGACATAATGAAGGTAGGCCAAGAGTTAATATTTCTGTAGATGACCAGTATTCGTGACTTCTTCTAAGCTGCAATTCTATCTCAGCTTTAAAAAAATGCTTCTTTCTGCAACAATGAAGACAGTTTTAGCCACAACAGTAAGCAAAAAGCTGCATAAAAGAGGTTTACATGCTAGGTGTACATTGTGTGTCCCACTAATATCCTATCACCAGAGGGAGCATTTGAATTGGTCTGTTGGTCGTGTAAACCAGACTAAAAATCAGTGAAGGTCTATTCACTGACGAGTCCCACTTTGCTTTACAGAGTGATTCTTGATGTATTCACATATGAAGAGCAGCAAACACCACCTAACATACGTGAAAGGGATATTTATGCAAGAGGCAGTGTTCTGGTATGGAGATGAATAGCTTTATGTGGATGCAATAAAGGTGCTTATCCTTATGTTTGTGCTGCCACATGAAGCTCTCCATGCTCAGAGGTACAGAGATGATGTAATGCCTACCCTCATACTGCTTGCTCTTGTGCATCAGTTTCTTGGAGAAGAACCTGTAATCTAAATGGAATGGCAAACATGCTGTCTACCATTGAGTATGTGTGATATGATGTTCCTTGGAGGCACATTGCTGGCCCCCAGCTGCCTTCCTAACCCTAGATAGGCTTTAGAACTGCTTTACATGATCAACGAGATTGTTACCCTTGTAACTGTTTGATAAAATTACCAATAGCATGAGATATCACTGTCAGGACCATATTGCTCTTGCTCATGTAATCATACTCACTGTTGAGAAATTATTTTGTATTTAATTTATATGCTCTAATTTAGATTTTATGTCCATATTGATATCTCAAATAGTAAGTATTCCATGTAACATTTTCTTGTGTCTTAGAGTTAGAAATGATGTAATAAATATTATCTCCAAGTTTTGTCCAATTTGCGTGCATACTTTTTTTTAAAGTTTTCATCAGTTTTCCTTTTGTTACTTAACTTCTGGAAACTTTTGCAGTAAGGTGTATATAAAATATGCATAATCTATACTATTAAATATACATTAAAATCTCTTCTTTTATTGATGGGGCTTCTGGTTAATAGCAGGCTATTTAAGTTTTTGATGAGTTAAAAATACATTGGATTTTAGCATCCATAATACCTGAATTTAAGAATCAGTTGTATATTATTTTCATAAAGAAATGTGCATACCTGTCTTGTTATAATACTGTAAGCTCCTCCCAAAGGAGTTTTAATTACATTGTAAAAATTTTCAGTTCTTGTATGAATTTTGTCATTAATGCCTTTGTTATTTTACAAGCTGATGTATCTATTTTTAGCTGCAAAATCTTTTGGTACTTATGTGTTATTTAATACTGGAAACTTCATTTGGCGCAAAGGTAATTTTAGTTTGGTAAAACCTTTTCCTGTATCTTTTATTTCCATATTGCCTATTTCTTGAAGATAATTTATTGTTCCAGTCTGTTAAGGTTATCTGCCATATTCACACCATCTTGGCAGTGTGACTAGAGTTAGCTATACACCAGCAGTATTACATCATATAGCAGTTAATCATAAAGCTGTTGTGAATGCAGTCCATCCCCTTCAGACAAGTTTCTTATTTTTATTCGAGTGTCTGGTAGCACTTTTATATGTTATATTTCTACGACATATTTTGTTTAGTATTGTAGAAATATATTGTGCAAGAATTAGAACATTCCCAGTTATATACTGCAGTGTACAGGAATTAGAGCATTCCACTTAATTAATTTATAGAATCACTTTTTTTTTTTTTTTTTTTTTACTTCACACATATAAAATTACAGAGATCTGTAAAAAATAACAAATGCAGAAAAAGTTGAAGCAAATAGAACATCAATAAGTTGCTGCACCGACATGAATAAGTTAGAACAGAACAAAAAATGCAAAACTTATATGGGTTCATAATTCAAGTACTCACAATGATACTTTATCCTGGACTCCTGCATCATAATCCCCAAAAGCTGACATTCTGTTGGCACATTTTAAGCCTTGTAGTTAGATCAGAGAAAATAAGTTAAAAAACTATGAACTATGGAGCAGTAAATGCAAACAGAACAAGATATAGTGATTGATGGCTGGGATTGTATTACATGGTTGACAATCATATGCAGTTTAGCAGTTAAGCTGTTAATAAAGTTTATGTATAATTTTTTAATTGGTTAAAAAATGACATAGCATTTTTATGCAGTGTCAAGATATTTTACTGGCATGTTCCCAAGCTGGTTTGGTTCTGCATTTTGCAAGCATCTAGCAGCATTCTGTATGTGTATGTTGTGCTCATTCTTGCTTAAGAATTGAGAGAAATCTGAGAAGTTGAGTATTTAGTTCTGGAATGATATCTGCCATTTCTACATAAAATCTGTTAAGCAACGTTTTCTTCACCTGATTTTATTATTGTATTCTTTTATTTTTGTAATTTTGTGTAATATGAATAATTAGAGATGACTTACTTCTAAAGTAACCATGTATGTAAACATTGTGCTTGTGTTAGAAGGAATATGCAAGTAAGTGAAAGAACACTCTTAACAGTTTTGTGCACTTGAAAACACAGTTATTATTAAAAGACTTTATCAGTAGAGCTGCCTGGAACAAATTTGTATAGAATCTGTAAAATCTCCAGATATTATACTAGTTACTGATACCATACAAATAAATAATATGGAATTTGCAACAAGAAACAAGTATGTGTCTCTGTAAGTGTCGTAGAATACCTATTATTTCAATACAACGTCAAAGTGTTTCCTTTATACAAAGAGAAACCTTGACATTTTGTGTTGCATTGCTGAATGAAATCAAGTCCAGTTTATTTCACCTTCATGTTTAAATGAGAGGAGTGCAAGATTTCACCCCACAAATTAAACAGTTTAAAGAAAAAATAATAATTGCAGCTTGCTATAAAATTGTTTTGTTTCATCCCACAAATTAAACAGTTTAAAGAAACTATAATAATTGCAGCTTGCTATAAAAATTGTTTTGTTACTGCTAGTGTCAGAGTTCTATAGCCAACAAATCTCTACCCAGTTGCTCAATTTTACTATCTTTTGATCTGCTAAAATGGAAATTTGTTTCCATCTGAAAATCATACTGATAACAAAGTGTTTATTTAGAGTTTCTTACTTAAAATGTAAAACTTTTGTTCCGAAAATATACACATGTGTTTTTAGATAATAATTTATATTTTATGTAAATGCCTGTATATAAAAGTTGAATATAATTTAATCTCCCATTTTGAATATTTTCTAATGGTAAGATTGAAAAATTTTCAGTTTCCCAAGCCTTACGAGAAAACACCTATCCATTCCTAGCTGTGATTGTTTTAAGGGAAAATAGGATGACTGTTGTGGCAAGACTTGAAGGGCCTACTGAACCAGAATTACTTATAAGACGCCTTCGACTTATTATAAATGATAATGAAGCTTCATTAATAGCTGCAAGATTAGAAAGGTAAGAGTCAAAGCCATGCCTACAAATTTTTTCACCTGAGGACAGGTAAAAAGCACCTGTATGTTCTTATTTTTTGGGAGGGGGGAAAAAGAATATATGTGTGTGCGTGTGTTTATATGTCATACACACATATTATATGTGTATATAATGTATAAAGAAAAACAAGAACAATAACTTTTAAAATTTATTTAATTTGCACAATAGTACACATTTACTATCTAAATTTCACTTCATATTTTGTATGAGATAATTTTTTATTTATATATACACACACATAAACATGTTGCAAACTTTGAAAAATTGATTTCTTTAAAGTTAAAATTTAAAACACTTTTGTAATTGAACGCACATGTCTATGACCTATGGTTACGAAAATAAAGGCCGGGTAAGGACTTTGGAGGCATGCTTTATGTATAGTGACATAAAAAAAAAAACTATATGTGCACAATTTTATCCTCAGTAAAAGAAACTATTTCAATTATAATGCAATAATTCTTGCAACGATATTTAATTGTAGTTTTATATATTCTGAAAAAATTAAACATATTTAATGATCAATTTTGAAATGGAAAGCACTAAAAATATCCTTCTTGTTCAACAGCTAGTAGCATAATTCTTAATTTATGTTCATAAGCCTAGGTAGATTAATGCAAACTGAATATAATTTTCGTGCTAAACCTTTTGGATTTTCTGAAACTATCCATACCTATTCCAATCACTGGCTGGAATTTTTTTAGAAATAATCATATCTTTTCAGTTGCAAGTCTGGTTGGAATTCTTTTAAAAACAATCATATGTTTAAAACTAGTGAGATATCTAAACTTTAAAAATAAGTATGTATAATTTTACAGTACAGTATGCAATTACTAAATTAAACTCAATTGCACAAACAGCCCTTAGAGAGCCATGGCTGGCAGTGTTTTTCACGTATGTTTTTACCTAACTTTCAAAAGCATTGAAAAGAATATCATTTTACCTCCTTTAAAACTGCATGCTATTTGAGAGCAATTAAGCTTTTATGGGAATGGGGGAGGAGCATGGATTATGTTGGCTTTACACGGGAAATGAGTAGATGACTTTCACCTGTTTCTGTAGCTGTTTTAGGTATGCTGTTAACTATTTAAAGTAGGTTGTGAGAAATTTTAATTTTATCTTGATTCTTGTAAGTGAAATTAATTTAATTTCTAGCACCATATTTTATTCGTCTTTAAAAAAAGTGTTCTTGTGATGCGTTAAGGAATTCAAAGTAAAATATATCGATACAGTAACTAAAATTTTAAACTTAAAGTTATGGAGTAGTTAAACTGTAGGGAAGCAGTATGGAAAGCTATTCCTCACTGTAAGATCATTATGGAGGGTGTGAAAACAACCTGCAAAGAAAGCCATTTGATGGCAATGTGCTGATTATCTGTCAGTATCATATTTTATGGTATCAATCATTTGTCTGCTATATTTTGGTAGATAATATATTTTCAAAAGAAACAAAACAAAACAAAAAATTGCAAATTTGTACAAATATGAGACATAGTAAGTATTCCAAAATGGAACATTAATACAATTTCAAAGATGATTAGTGATGTGTAAACTAAGAAGCAATCTGTTTTGCTAGGCTTTTTCCTTTTTGAAAAAAAAATATTTATATTTTTTTATCAGATTAAAAATTTTTTACAGTATTATCATTTTGATTTTCTTCTTTATCTCATTTTCATAAATTTATCATTATTACAGTCCTTAATTTTGATATCTCTTTAATGAAAATTTGATATCATTAGTCAAATAGATTAAAACCTGTCACGATGACTTTCTCGTTAAGATGACTACTTTTGAAAGTGACCAGTATTTCTGAGAATATAACTAAACACTAGCATCGTTTTTCATCTGTCTTACATAACTACAGTTGCCCATATTAAAGAAGATTATAATTTTTATTCATTCCTGATTCCCTTTGGTGAAAATCACAACATGCTATTACTTTTTGTGCAGATTGAAATGCAGTAGATTTTTTTATCACATCTTAACTAATATTTTCCCTAAACCAAACAAAATCTTAATGCACTCTTGACTAAATCATTCAGTCCTTAAGCCTAATCCATCTTGTGCTTATAAATTACAAGAAAATGCATTAAATTGTTTCATTATTTTATTAGTGAATATCTTGACATTTTAAATTTTGCATTGTATTTTAATTTATCTTAGCTGATGTTTTGTATTTATCTCTATGAATCAAATTATTAATTTTAGGATATTTATTATAAAAATAATATTTTAGGCATGAACGTTCTGTCAATCAGTCTATTAGGCAACAGCAAGATGAAGCATATAAAGAATCTTTAAGAGCAGATCAAGAGAAAGAAAGGCGTCGTCGAGAAGAACAGGAATTAAAAGCACGTTTAGAAATGGAGGAACGAAATAAAATTCTTGAAGAACAAAGGAGGAAAGAGGTATATCATATTTCTTTTCTTAAAATATGAGAGTTAAAGTTCATGTTAATAAGAAAATTGAATATTTTACATGCTGGCCAGTAATTAAAAAAATTAAGCTTGAATAATAATGCTAATAAAAGAATTTCTCAGAAGCAAGATTTATTTTTATTTCAAAATATTCTATTATTAAATTGTAATACATTTTTTTTTGAAAATTTCGTAGCATTTACAACTTATATCTTAATGCTTTAGTAGTTTAAGGTTATTTTTTCTGAGGTGGTAAAACTGAAAACTGCTTGTCTTCAAAGCTAATATTTAACCAAAAGAAGTTATGTAAATGATTGATGAGTTATTACTTCTGATAATGTAAATTATTAATACATAAAATAAGACTCTAAATAAAAATTAACACAAAACTTTTATTAAGTCCAATATGTGAGTAGTACATCTAAAAATATAGAAAAAACTAAACTGTATAACTTCTGTCAACAGATAACTGCAGTTGCATGCTACTATTAAGAATAAGTGATTACATTAACAAAACCAATTCAAGTCTACAGCACACTTTGGATCTGAGTGGGAACTAGCTAACTTCCTGAACTGAGTAAGAATTTAAAGTTACAAGCTTTCGCAGACGAAAGCTTGTAACTTTAAATTCTTACTCTGCAAGTGCCTTCTATGGTAGTATAGCAGTTAAGATTATGTCATAATTTTAGACTCTGCTTTTTGCTGTAAAATTTGTGTATACTTCTGATCTGAGCAAGTAATTGTGGCAAGGAAAAGGCATATAGGAAAGAAATTAATATAAAGCTGTTAGTAAAACTGAAATCACCAATGCCAGAAAATAGCATTTAGATGTTAAATGGCTGCATGTAACCATCAACATGGATTAAATAGGTCAAAGTCGTACATATTTTTAATTATTCAGATAAAAATCATCTGAAAAATAATTGTGCGTTATTGCAAAAACGAAATTGCTTTAGCGAGTAGACCGTTTTCTTTAATAAAGGTTTTATCAAAGAATTATTTTTCATTTTTTAGGAAATTCGGCGCCAAAAGATTGAACTTGCAGACCAGATCCCAGAAGAGCCTGCCGAGGATCACCCTAGTACAATTAGATTAATGATAAAGCTTCCAAATGGTACCCGGTTGGTAAGAAGATTTAGCAGAGATGATTCATTAAAGGTGCTTATTTTTTATACTAAAAATTTTTTTAATTAATTTTTTTACCTTAGTATTTATATTTTTAGTTTTACGACTTATTTCAATTTGTTATATATTATTATAAATTATTTATTTATACACTGCTGGACAGTTTGCTAAGGACGAATGACACTACCAACCATAACAACCACAAAGTAAAAGGAAGTAAAATGTGGAAAATATGAAGAAGTGCGCGATGCAGTCAGAAGAGGTGTGCATATGCAAAGTTTCATTTTCTTGCTTGTTTTTCATGTGGTAGTACTGATAAAAGATTTAGAGTATTTAATGTGTACAGGCAGCTGTTGTACCAAGTGAAAGTATTATGGCAAAGATTCAATTGTCAATCTTTAAAATTTTGTTATGTCTTTGTGATATAACTTATATTATTTTACACGTGGCCATAGCATTGAAAATGTCGAAGAAGGGCAAAAAATAACAGTTGTTGTTAAGGGATTGAGCATCATCTACAGAGTTTTATCTCAGCTGTGTAATGCATTTAAAACAATTGGAATGCAGAGCCAGCCTCACAAGGAAGATCATGTTGCATGTATGAGGCTGCAGGAATCTGATACATTGCCCTGTAGGTGAAAAGAGATCGTGGCACTCTAGGTCAGTAGGTGCGAAAAGGGCTTCTTTCTGTCACAGGATAACAGATTTCTTGAAAAACTCTAGCCAGATGTTTGGAAGAAGGACTATATACTTTCAAATCTGCTGTGTGGTTCCCCATTGTCCAGATAGCACCATACTCCCCATTGGCAATGGTGTTGCGAGCATCCCATTTGGATTGAACAAGAGTGGGCTTGTACGCTATTTCCAGAAGAGAATATGTTCAGTCTGGATTGTAGACGCCAACTGATCTGGCATCATAGTGGTATCACTTTTTTTTCCAGCCAATATCCAGGAAAGGGACTGATATCTGAGATGCAGTATTATGGTATGGCAAGGCATCATGATCAATGGCCACATGCCCCTACATGTGGTTATAGTTGGGAGTATGACTGGCTAATGATACATTGATGAAGTTCTAATGCTTCATATTTGCCTTTTCCATGATACTTTTGGTGAAAAATTCCTTTATGTGGACTACAATGCAGCATGCCATTGAATACTCACTGTTCAGAATTAATTAGACAAGAAAAATATTCAATACCTTATATAGCTAGCAAATTCTCTAGACCTAAATCATAATGAAAATGTTTGGAATGCTCTGGGAAGGTGGCTTGCTTGTTGAAAATATCCTCCAATGAAGAAGAATTTCCTCATCCGTGCAATGATAGAGGAAGCTCAGTTGCCTCGTAAGTTGCTGGATAATTTTGTGCAGAATATGTGTGGCATGCGGAATGTTGCATCACAGTCCATGGTAGACATATTTCATACTGACACCTTTTTTGAAGGTTTCTGCCATCATTCATATGTATTTTTCTGTTTTTTCATACACAGTATCAAAAGAACACTTTATTATTTTTTTTTTTTTTATTTTTGGATGTTTCAGTACCTTTTGAATTTTCCTGAACAATAAATGCCCGTTATTCTAATGTTCGAATAGTGTGGCAGCACTATTTCATTCTTAGCCTCTAACTCCACTTAATGTTATTCTTCTTTGCAATTTGAGACCTGTCCTAGCAATTGTCCAGCAGTGTAGTATTTGAAATTTTTATTTATATAAACATAAATTTACAGACTTGCATATATACAGTACATACAGAATGGGCCCCCAACACAAGAATACCCATCCTATAGATGAATTTCGTATGTACAGGCCCTTTGGAAGAAAACTTCTGCTTCCTCTCAGTTTAAGAAATACTTGTCAGACATTATCAAAAGACTTTATGCTAAACATACTAAAAGTATATATCTGAGTTGATGTAGTCGTAGATCGTTATTGTGCTCGTAAGGTCAGTATCGCATGTCATGCAATGAAGTGAAAAATTCCATCATTGAAAATGAATTCGACGCTACTCATACATCACTTTAAATTCTGCTATTATTTTTGTATTTCTGAATATTGCTAAGCGATAGTGAGACTAGTCCTAGTTTCTTCACAATTTTTACAGTGAGATTTCCCACTTTGAACATCTGTTATTGGATATTCGCATGATATCTGTTAGAATTTCAACTAAAAAAACATTCAAGATATTTTTGACATTTATAGCAAATTTTTTTTGATAAAGTATGCAATAAATAAATAATTTTGGTTTTGTGATAAATGTGTTTTTTATGCTGTGATGTCCAAGGCAGGTTGTAAGGCTGTTTTAACTGTAAAGTTGGAAATTCATTTTCTAAAGCATTTTTTTTATGTAATTTTAATAATTATTTTTATGTAGATATTTATATTAACCTTTTACATGCTGCACTATGATTAAGGAATAAAAGACACAACTAATTCATCAAATTCACGTTAGAATACATCCGTAAAGACTATAAAACAAAATAAAAAATTGCAGTAAAATCAATTCTGTCTGTAATTTCTCAGATGTTTCATTTTTGTAACATTGGCATGTAATGCTATCTTTTCTCTTTTTTTTTTTCGCTTCATGAACGCAAAGCGTTGTATGATGAATCTTAAAATTTTATGCTGTAGTAATGGTTTACTGAACAATCTGATGTGAAATTATTAAAATTTAAGTAAAACTCATTAAAAAATTTACAGAAATTTTAATTAGCATAATATTTTATAAGAAATTCAATGAAAAAAGTATACAGAAACAATAAAAACAATTTCATACTTCCACAACCTTGACTAAAAATATACATAATATGAATAAATGCGGTTTTAAAAATGTAAAATACCTTACCATTAAATTTTGAATAATGAATGAAAAAATAAAATATTTTATCCTTTAATAAAACAAGTGTGATTTCAACCAGTAGCACACAAAATATGAAGCAATCTAAAACACTAATTTTTTGTAATCCTTTTTAGCAGGTTCTCAGTGCCATGATATTCTGGGAAGTATTCTACATGGAGCCTTTTTTTGCATTCAAAATGCATTTGCAGTGTTTTTTAGGCACACCACACAACAGCCCTGTGTTGATGTAACTATATAATGCGCATCTGTAATCGGTGTGTAAGATCCACCCAGCAACCCACAACTATATTTAGTGCATTGATAAAATAAGTTCCAGTACCAATTTTTGCTGCGAAATTTTGGTCAATAACTACTGAGAAGTCGGTTCAATAGGTCTACTCCACTCATTCCTTCATTATATAATTTCATAAAGTAAGTTTGGGGAATATCAGCTTTGTTTTTTTTTTTAGCTTGGAAATATCTTTTTTGCTCTTCCAAATGGTTCGTGAGTGATAAAATTTGATGCAATATTTACAACAGGACTATCATTCCAACAGCACATATAAACGTCTCCATTGCATCGGTAGTCAATTTCTCCACGTTGAAATTTCGACATTTCTTTTGCTGTTTTAAGAGCACATTTTTTTCTCGTACTGTGCCGATTGACTTAAAGCCTTTGTTAGATAAATCTGTGAGCAGACCGTGTGATGTAAAAAGTTATCGAAAAATATTTGTGATTCTCCCGATTGTAAATAAAAGATAATGTTTGGAGACAACTTTTGATCCAAGTGGCAAATTTTCATTTCTCGAACTTTTTCCAACATAGATAGACATAGCATAAGTATAACCATTTGCTGAGCAGAGTATCCAAACCTTGAAACCAAAGCAAAATGGTTTTCCATGTATCAACATCTTAGCAGAATGATGTCCATAATATGGAACCATGGATTCATCGATACTCAGATTTTCATGGAAAAAATCGAAGTTGATGAAAGTTATTTCCAATCTCTTCATAAAAGAGAGAGATTTTCCCTAACTTATCACCTGGTTCCAATTTACTATTATTAGCAATATGAAAATACTTTTTTAATATCCAGAATTTATTTCTGGACATTATAGTGCTAACAGTTGAGACATGCAAATCTTCCTGAGAGCTCCAATATGAATTTTCATCAGGTACTGAGTGGTAGCCACTAAACAACAGCAATCCAAGAAACTGCCGGATGTCATTTGTGTCAACATCTAAAGTCTCCTTTTTTTGTAGGGCATACAATTTTGTAAGTTCTGCTAAATTTTCTAAGTGGTCGGAAGGCAGAAATTTATAAAACAATTCATTTGGAGTCAAATTACTTAATTCAGGAAAAGTTTCAATGATATTGTTGCATGCGTACAAGTTCGTAATAGATTGAATGCACAAGTCTGATGAAAAATTAATAAAATTTATTCTTATCACAAGAAATGAAACAAAATGCTGAAATTCTTCCTCACAGGTATTTGTACAATATGACAATATCACACAGTAGTTATACTTTAAACTACTAAAACTTTAAATAGAACACAGTTCAAAGAGCAGAGAAAGCTAATACAACCTCAAAATTACAGCAGCTATGTAAACAAAATCAACTTAGTAAACAACTGAACTGAGATGTTTCTCTCCAGCTGTTTAAATCAGTCACAAGAAGGTTCTCATAATTTTTGTTTTCTCGAGGTTTCTGGAAAGCAAAAGAGTAGAATTATGAGATATCTATTTATTAATCCTTTCGCCGTCTTCTCCTGTCCACAAAAATTTCCCTCCAGCGGCCGTCTGTTTTTCGTAGCATGTAATGTTGTTTTCTCTGTACATCATAACTTTCCATACATGGCTTTCGTAGTGGATGAATGTCAATGAATATTAAGTAAAATTATATGAAAATAAAGCATAATGGAAAAATGATAATATCTCTGCTTATTTCTAACAGCAGGATGATTTGATAACATCTGATCTAGGCGGTCCACTCCTCCCATTTTGTTGTTGTAATCTTTTACAATTATTGTTTTTTTTTACAGTTCTTTTCCGTGTTGCAACATCAATCATCAAGTTATTATGGACTGTACTCATCAAACGTATATCCTTCTTGTCTTTCCAATTCACAACCTCATTTTTTCTCTTTTTCTGCTGAGTAGACATCATTGAAGCCATCTCTCACTGTCTTATACCTTATGAAAAATGGCACAAATATTCATGAAATCCGGGGCAAATTCAATTAGAAATAGAATGCTTGATTAGTGCTACCCTCTAGGAGATATCAGAACAAACAAAAATAAAAACTCAAAACAAGTAAACATTTAGAAATCGTTTTAAATGTTTAAAAGTTTTAAAATGTAGAAGAACGCTTGAGGTGCATTACGGCCGCCCTGGGAAAGTTTCACTTGAACACGCTAGACATATTACAGATGACGAAGAGGTCAAATGTGAGGGCTCCTGAATTTGTACATTTTCAGTGTAGCTTTCTCTTAAAACTTGTCACTTGCTGCATTGTACAGGGAAATAAAACAATTTTTCTGCTAAAATTAGCTAACTAATTACAAAATCCGTAACTATGTTATCAGTAGGTAAGGTATTTAAAGTTCTCTGAAATTTGCTGCATTTTTTCCGATTAGGCTGTTTTCTTTTAAATTTTTTATTTTGCTTTGACTCTAGAAGTGGGGGAGGGAGTGTCTAGTTCTTCATCAGATATTTCAGATGACTTACTTGTAAACACTTCTATTTGCCAACACACGTCTCCAGGTGTAGTCGGCTCAAAACTATTATCGTTTATTTCTTCCTCTTCAGTTATGCATCTGCATTCATTTGGGGGGCAATTGACAAATGTTTATGATCAACTCATTTGAATCATTAGATAAAGAATTAAAAAATTCAATGGCTCCTTCTACAGTCAAAAATTTCTTTGGCTGTGGCATCTAGTTGTTACTTTTTATTAAATGCCTCTACATAAATTCATACTGAAATGCTCTCAAAAAGTGCCCAGAGTGTAGGAAGAAAATCAAACATGTGATTTGCTCCACTCACTTCCCATGTTTCCCTCTATATTGGAAGGACCTAATATAAACAAACAAATCCTTGTGAAGCACACATGGTCATTTCTAACAAAAGAAACAACCAGCTACTGGTGCTCAAAACAGGGAGATACAGCTGAAAAAAATTGCCCCCCCCTTGGTGAAAGAGATGAGACCTCCCCTTCTTTCTTCAGAAATAAATGACACATTATTAATGGCTCTCAAAAAGTGTATGTTTATGAGATATGAGCACTGAATATATTTAAATCTAATAAAGAAAAATATATGTGTGGTATTATTGATTTTGTATATCATTACGTGCCAATGTTCTTTTTTTTGGAACATTGCATTTTTATGTAATCTTGAGGAAAAATTTCTTGTTATTATTGGAATTTCTTTAACTCATTAAACTTGCTCTTTGCAAGTACGATTGGGAAATTTTTGGTGGATTTGAATTTTAGAGAATTTTTTATCTTAAGTGGTAAAAATTGTAAAAAAAGCTGATTTTAAAAAATATTTCTGTGCTGAAATATAAATATTTAAAAAATAAATTTTATGTCAAAAAATCAATCATACCTTTTATAATAAGCGGTAATTTTTTTTCAAACTGACAGATATGATACTTGATTTTTATTAAAAATGATGTTTCAAAAAAGGAACGTTGGCATGTAAAACGATAAACACATCAAAACAGTAGAGTTAATTAATATAGCAATACATTGCTCTTTTTTTTTTTTTAATTTAAAACGTGGGTGCATTGCAGGAAATATTGGTGATTGGCCGGGATATCACATATTTCACCACCTGAGATCCATCTAAAATTGCATACTGTCAAAAATATTTTGCATTTTTGAATTTAGGATAGAACATATATTAATTTTCAGCAATAAAAAATGCTTTTTTTTGTGTCAGAAATTTTTTGGGTGGGGTCCAACCAAAAAGGGGTTAAGCCCCCGAAGAAGTCTAGTGGGGCCCCCCGTATTCGAGTCTAGACGAGACCCCCCATATTCGAGAGGTCTATCGTTCAAGTCACAGCAAGGGGGCATTGCACATTTTTCCTGCTTTAAAAAAATACTTAGTATCTCTACAAAAAAAAAAAAAAAAAAAAAAAAAAAAAAAAAAAAGGGGGGATCTGCAGCATGTTTGTCGAAACTAATATGAAGTGCACATATTTATAAGGTGATATTAGTTTCAATGAAGAGAAAAGGGCTACAAATCCTGACTTGTAAGTCAGTATCAGGCATTGCTTTAGAAGTCTCGAATGTGTTTCTGTTATGCACTGACCCCACAAATTCAGAAGTTGCGTGATTTGCACAACTGTTTATGTGAAATGTTGCCTCGTACAAGAAAAGGATATTTTAAATTCTGTTGAATTGTTTAATTTCCGTAGCATATTGTCAGCATATGTAATCCTATGTTCATTGTCCTGTAATTTGATTAAATGCAATAGTTGAATTTTATAGGGATGTAACTTCAATGTCTTCTGCATGATGTTATACACATTTAATTTAAGAAATGTGTATAACATCATGCTGTGAGGAAGATCTAATTTTGACCTTCAGCTTGAATTAGATTTTTGAGGACTATGGACATAAGACTATCGGATTCTTTTAAATCATCATCTGATATTCTACACTTGTATGCTGTTTTTTGATTTTATATGCTGCAAAAATACATGCACATAATTGTGCATTCAGTGAAAAACACATGCACAATAAATTTATTTCAGAGATCATTATGAATTTCCATATTTGTTCTTTGACACCTTGTGTATAGTAACCATAATATCAAATTACAGGTTAGTGTGTGCAAGCTGTCTACATTGTCAGCCATGTGATTTCTGTTTCATTTGACCACTGTATATATTCTTAGACAATGTCAGGAAATTATAAAAATATTATTGACCATTGTCTTTATAAGGGAAAATGTTACATGTTGGTGAAAAAGCATTGAAAAGATTATAAAGGAAGAAAATCTAAATTCATTTCTAATCTGTATATTAGAGATGAGTGAATCAACAATTAAGAACAAAATGAACTATAGATAATAATGAAAGGACACTGTACATATGCAATCAGCAATAACCAGAATTAAACACAGAAAAGTATGAAGAAAGTTATAACTTAATGACTCAAAAACTTATAGACATAATTTGATTTAGCTTTATGATGATTCAAAGCAAAGGGTGGATTATTTTGAGATTTAAACGAAAAATAAAATTAAAGTACCTGCAAAGCTAGCAAATTAGAATTGATTTCATCATTTAAAAATCATTAGTTTTATTATTTTTGAACATACAAAGTTTGCCGGAAACTAATGAGACTGATTTTTATGGGCTGTTTGGAAAAGCCGAAGAATGAAGTCTTCAGGTGCGAAAGATAAACAGTCAGTTTCTTTTCAGTTGGCTGTAAACTTTTACAGACTATGGGTTGATTGTCTAATTGATTGGTGTTTGAGCATCACAGTCAAAATGCAGAGAAGCATCAAATAATAATATGTCATAAAATTTTATTTGATTTTACTAAAATTAAACTTGAAGAACTTGATTGAGGTACTTGATATAGAGAACCTGTGGGAAGAAAGCTTTATTGAAAGCAAAAGTGTTACCATGGCATAGCTGCTAACTCTGACCATTTTTTTACCTATCTCTCAGTCTGCTGATAGATTACCGAATTTCTCGGTTTTTATTTTTTAGCCATTATTGATGAAAGTGTTTTTCAGCATTAAAATTAAATTGTGCAATGAAATTAATTTGGGCAAATAAAAATAGCACAGTTTAAGTTTCATTATTGAATTAATGTACAAATTGAACCAATTGTATGATCAGTAACTATTTGTATTTAATTTTTATTTTAATTAGTATACGGTGCATTAAATTATGGTTATTACTAATTTAATCCAGATAATGTACATTAAAAAATGTGACTTTCATAAATTAGTTTTCTGTAAAATAACCTTGCAGAATTTTCTTTTGAGATCTTAATGAAACAGAGTGTAATATAATTGTGTTATTCTTCATTATCACTGCAGTCAGTACCGAGCAAAATGCATTCTTTCATGTAAACATATAATAAATGAAATGCTAAAGCAAATGTTAAAGGAAATGTTTTGGGTAATGCTGTTTATATGTGCACCTTCTGTTTTGTATGTATATAATTTTGTGTTTGCATAATGCTATATTTTTATTCTAATGTAATTGAAAAAAAAAATTGTGCTTTTGTTTTAGTTTTTATACTACTTTGTCTTCTGCCATGACGAATCTCCAGATAGCTTTCAGATAGTGACGAACTTTCCCAGAAGAGTTGTGCCATGTGAGCCTACAGCACAGTGTCCAGATCCTCCAACATTTGCAGAATTTGGTTTGGGGAAATCTGAAATGTTGTTTGTGCAAGACTTGGAGGCATGAAACCACAGTGCATTCATTAACTCATAGAAAAAAGTACTTAAAATAAATGTGTGCCATTCAGGCCATGGTGGCATTTGTGTTTTTATAAAGAGGTAGCTTTTGGATACAAGGAACAGCAAAAGATCGAGGAGTTGTTTTTTCTTAATGTTGAGGAGTTAGATTGAGTGAAAGGTTGTTCCCCCATACTGACTGTGCTATAAAATTTCAAGATTTTTCTTTTATTTAAATAAAAGTTGAAAATTCTATTAAATGTTCTTTTTTAATTGTATGTTTAATTGTATTGATTTTTCATTAAAAAATTTGTATCATTTCATCATTTGACAAATTTTATTCTCTTTTTATATTTGCATTTATATGTTATAAAAATTAGTATGATGCCTTTCTTTATAATTTAAAGTTCACATGTTATGCATTCTGTGTATGGAGCAGATTAAGATAAAATTTTTATATAATCTGTGATGATCATTAATTATTCTGTTCATTCACTTATTGTTTATAGGTAAACAATTCCAGTTAGAATAGAATTATGAACTTTTTTAAGGTTTAATGATTTATAAATTATATGATTGAAGCTCTGTAATGATTACATTACTTAGATAGGAAACATTTTTTTAAAATTTTTATTTATATAGATTCTCAGCAATTAAGATTACAGTTTATTCAGAGCTTATGTAAACAAATGATGCTTCTCTGCATTAAGAACAAATATTGTGTTTATGAAGAGTTCTCTGCATTAAAAAGGAATTTTGTGTCTGTTGAAGAGTTTAGAGGAATAATATTTAGCCTTGAAATATGTTGAGCTCTTTATTGTTTAAATTGACAGAATATAAAATTGAATTTTTCAAGTTACTATTGAAATGGTGCATCATTGCCTTTATCATAACATAATGATAGAATAATGCTTCCCCCCTTCCAGAAATGTTGAGTTTTATGTGATAGAAATAATAAAATTTAAGTAGATATACTTTTTGAGAAATAAGAAAGAGACAGTACAAATATGCATATTTTACATAAATTATTGGGATACACTTTGCAAAGTAATGCTAAAACATTCTCTGAATTGCTATATTTTTAAGGAAAGATTTTTAACATTGAATAATTGTTAAAAAAATTATTTTATTTGTCATATCTCGAGTAGACAATTTAAGATTTTATTTACTATTTTGATAGGTTGATTCATGCACATTTAAGTGTATAGTGTTTAGGTATTATTTACTGTATAATTACATTTCTGAAACCATAGAATAAACATTTATAAAATATTTCATTGTACACTAAAAAATATTATATTAACCAGGTATTTAACAAACAGACTGTTGTTTTTCTTCAATGTAATGGTAGACTGTAATTTTAACATTTTTTATAATACAGATTATTTACCTTTCCACATCTGTATTACATGTGATTGTTGCAAAGTGATTGAGTTTTTCAAAGACTTGTTGTGTCTTGATATTGGATGCATGTTAAAGTTACAAGCATGCATATTGCAGCAGATTGGTTACATGCCAGTGCAGTATTTTTATTATACTGGATTTAGCAAAGTATGATGAGAATGATTTATTTATTTCATTTTTGAAGTGTGAGTATTATTTTTTACGTATTGTGCTATGATCATTACTTATCAGCTAAAACAAATGGATATTTAATTTTACACTTTTTTTTTTTTTTTTTTTTTTTTAATGTATAAGCTTCCAGTGGTTTGTTCTCTACAGAATGTTATTCCATTTGTGGCATTTCTCTCAGAATATAATTTGAATTTGACTGCAGGTTCCTTCATTCTGACTTAAGAGTTCATTTTGTATGAATTTATAATCATTTCTCAGCTTCTGATTTAATGATATTAAGTACTTTTATGTGGTGTAGGGATAGCCTCATGTTATATAATTTTTCACGAAAAGTGATTTATCATGATAATTCTTTAGCTAAAAAGAATGCACACGGAATTGTGCAAAATATTCATTGCAGTATTAGTTTTGGAAAGCATATGTTTTCTTCCCAATTAAGAGAGCTGAAATTATTAATTTCAGTTAATATATTTTAAATTTTATCTTCTATTGTTTCATGAGACATCTGAAAAAGCTGTTTAATGTTATTTCTTAAGCTGTTTCCTCTAATGTGTATTTATAGAAGAATGTGAAATTGTATATTTGCTGTAAGAAAGGCATGTTTGTTAAACCATATTTAGTTGGTTAACAATCTTATTCCACTGTTTATTTTTTTGCTGAATCTTGGATTTGTTAACCTTTATTATGGTATCCTTTATCATTGCTTTCCTTTAGATGCAATGATATTTTTACGGACTTCCAAGTAAGCATCCATCTTTGCTTTCTGATTACTTTTTGTTTTGTATCAGCTAGGCTAAGTAAATTAGAATACTGTTTAAATATCAGTAAATGATGATAAGTAGTTTTATGTACAAATATCTTTATAGTAACTCACGGTGGTATTTTTGCATATTTTGTATGTGCTGCTAAGCTTGTAAATATGTGTGTGGCATTTTCAGAATGTAGCAACAATTTATGCTCCTGTTATGTTGCAGAATAGTATAATAATGCAGTTCTTTCGGGTTCCTGAATATTAGTAGAGGTTGTTGAATCAAATTTTAAAATAGAGATTAAATATGATTTTAAAATTAAATTTAAAAAGCTGTCACAAGAGTGTGTAGATATTAAGAATTACTGGTGTTAGCGAAATGCTTCTAATGCATTTTAAAATATATTGAATGCAGAAAGATAATTACTAATTGGATGTTGGAAAAAAAAAAGTATAATACAGAAATTTGTAAATAAATTATCAGAGGTTAAAAAAAAGTGTGCAGTATTGTTGATAGGGACTTGTTTTGATTAGGGAAAACTGAAAAGGGATACTTTTTCATTCCCAAATTTAGAAAAATAAATAAATTAAAGGAAACGGAGTTAAAACATTATAGTGACTATGATATAGATATTTATGTTTTCAAGAGAAAACAGGAGTTTGAAATTATTTTATTTAGGAGCTCATGTAAGTTTGTTTTTTAAATATATATTTTGAAATTATTGAAAAGCTTAAATATGTTTGCAGTCTGAACTGATAGTCTGGTAGTGCAGGAAAACTCCCATAAAAGTGTTAAGCAAGATTCCAGAATGGCAGAATTAATGTATGACATATATAGTTTGCATTTTATATCTGAGTCAATTCAGGCTAAAAAAGAACTCTAAATTCAGGAAAATCTTGATCACCTTCTTTTCAGAAAAGTTGACGGTTTATTTCACATATCTTGATATTCATAATGACTGGGACACCTACTAAGCTACAGAAATCCTTATTCCAGGGGTATTATGAGAAATATTTCTCTGTCTTAAAAAAAATATAGCATTTGAAGGCATATAACAAACTTATTAAATACCCAAAGAATAAAATTATTACTATTAAAAAGAATGAAACAATGTACCTTTTGAGGTTTCATTTCCATAAAAGCTTTTTTAAAAACTTTTGAAGGATGGGTTAAACTATATTATTGTGTCATAACAATATATTATGGAGAAAGGAAAAAGTAGGTTTTCATTAAGTCCTAGTAGTTATATTATTTATTTGGAGGCAATTATTTACAGGGTATTTTTTTCAAGCAATAACTTGTGTAGTGACTTTGTCAAGTATTTGCATTACTTTTTTCATTAATGTTTAAATTTTGAAGGTTACTTAAGAGCTGTTTTATTTCATTAAATGTTTGCTTACTTAGAAAGGTTCATTCTTAGATTCAGTTATTAAAGAAAGAGGAAATGGAAAGGTTTCAATGTGAAGTGTTTTTACCTCTAAATATTTATGTATTTTACTTTTGTTATGTCATTTATCATTTAACTATATGTAGCTTTATAAAATAGATACACTTTTGACTCTTTTTAAAAATTTAAGTAAGTAAATAAAAATAATAATCCTTCAGGTACTTGTGCAGTAGCTTTAAATTACAATTCTGATCTGTCCTATTTTACCAGAATCAACTGTGTGTATTTATTAGTTTGAAATTTATTTCTTACCTCAAACTTATAGGGTGCAGTGTTGCTACATTATGTGAAGAACAAAGCTATTCAATTCTTTTAACAATTAGTTTTAATGCACAAATTTAATTTCTTCAGTCAACCGAAATTTTTATTCTCCTATTTGTACATACTTTGAAATAGTAATGACACATTAAGGATTCTTGTAAAAATAACTTATTTGTAAATAAAATGAAGGTTTCAGACTTCAAAAAAGTGTAAGTTAAACATGGGTCATTATAAATTGCAAACAAAATTATCTCTAATAAATTTCTTGCATAAATTTCATTTCTCTTCATAAATTTCTTACAAATCTTCAAGTATTGAGTTATTTTTTAAAATTATACTACTTAACTGAGGTAGCTTTTTTTAAAAATTAAAACCATTTTTATAAAGTAGAATTTCAACTGAGTTTCATGTATAACTCTGCTGTTTCATCAAATTTTGTGTAACAGCATCATATTTAGCATTTATTTTAGTTCAAAGATCATTTTAGTTTTTCTTAAATGAGTTAAGTAAATGTCAACATTCTTAGTAAAAACCTGCAAGAGGCAAGTCATTTTATATGATTTACTGTCAGATTAAATTTTTTATTAAATATGTAAATGAATAAACCATCTGGTAATTGTGGGCAAAATAAAATAAGTAGAATGATGATTTCTCGATAACTGTATCCACTTAAAATAGCAAAAAGAAGTTAATATTAAAAAATAACAGAATGTGAGTTAAAAGTGGTCTTTCTTTACCTCATAAAAATGCTGTTTTTAAAGTACACTGTGCAAAAAGGGGGGGGCAGTTCTATATCTCCCGTTCTACTGGGCTGATTGACGAAATTCAACTTGTGTTTTTCATATCTCGAAAGTGCAACTTAGGATATGTATTAGATTTGTATATAAAGTAGACATATTTCTAAGCATACCTGCAAAAAATGACAATTTTTTTATTCAAAATTTCTGAAGATGTACGAGAATTTATATATTGGTGCAATTTGAAATTTGGCATATATGTTGAATCTGATGTTTTGCGATAAAACATCAGATGTGGTTTAAACACTTTGCTAAAATTGTTTGGAAGTAGAAACAATGTGACTTTTTTTTCCGCTCCATAATTTAAGGAAAAGGAAACTTGGTTGCCATATATTAAGAAGTTCACCAAGTGAATTATTTTTGGCCAAACTGAAAAAATTTTGCCAAGATAAATTTTTGAATTTCTCTGTAAATTTCACATCAAATTTTACAAAATTTAATATCTAGGCATAATTTGAGTCATAGAATCAAAATATGGAAAAAAATTGCTATAT